CCACTGTCTGACGCATAATCCAGTCCAACGCGATTAGGAATATCATTGGTAATAATAAGCACCCTTGTCTGACTCCTGTGTTTACTCCAAACGCCTCGCTGAGTTTTCCGTTGTGGATCCCTTGACATGTGCCTTTGTCGTACAGCTGTCGAACCTATATAAATATATATATATTAAGTGAAATACCTCGAAATGTCAGACCAGTGAACTTCACCTTGAGGCTTAAACATGACCTATACGAACTGGTTGGTTCATAAGATCCTGCTTGTGGCATAGAGGGCATTGAAATAGAAAAGAAGTCAAGCATTGAATACTTTGGAATAGTTCTGTCGTCTGACCTTTCCTGGTTATCCTATATCTTGTCGATTTCTAAGCTAATTAATGTTCCATCTAGCCTTCTACACAAAGCAATTAAGACAGTCAGGAATCAGACAACCTCTGCTTTTACAATTTTTCTTAACTCTTTAATCTTACCTAAATATCTTTATTGCTCCCCCTTAGTGTTTCCTCGGCTACTCAAAAAGGACAAGGCTACAATGGGCAAGGTATTGAATGTTGTTCTTAAGGCAAGTAGTGTGCCACTAAGTCTGCTAAATAATACTGCATTCAACAGACACTTGGACACATGTAATGTAAGAAATTGTCTAAATACGTATTGTTTGACTCTCAACACCCTCTCTATTCACAACTCTCCCTTGCTTACATCTCACTAGATAGGATTAGAAGCCATTATAATAAAAGATCATATGCTCAAACAACCAAAAACAAAACTTAACGATTTCCTATTTGATCCGACCGCCTTCTATGCGATAGAGATAATATCAAATGTGAAACTTACAACTTACTACGTAGTTAGCTAAATAAATGGTTCTTTTATCCTCTCCTACTTGTAATCTATGAAGACAGGATTTCAATTAACTTATTATTCTAGCTAATAACATTATTATTATTATGATTTCATACATATTGTATATTTTTGACCTTATTGTCACTGCTAATACCAAAATGTTCTTCTGATCAATTTTGGTGACTTATAATATATACGTCAGGACCAAGTTAAATTATAACTTAATTACATTTTAGATTTTCCCGTCGATTAATTGGAGTGAAGTGCTCGGTCTCAGGTTGACATGTCGGCTTATTGTGCAGATGCTTAGACGATGTCTGGGCATGTAATAAGAAGTTAATTGGTTGATGAGGGGGCTCTCGTGGCCCAAGTGGTCAAGTGGATAACGCTTTGGCGTTTGAAACTATGGGCAATGTGTCTGAGACTCAGTGTGAACATCGTCACTCGCTGGGGAATGTAGGTACATCCAGATGACGAACCCCAAATAGGACGAATGCGTGTTGTCCTGGATTCCACTGCTAGTCACCATCCACCAATTAACTTTTAACTGTTTGAAAAAAATTGGGCTTTGGGTAAATGATATTCATTATAATAAAGGTTAACCAGTATTTCCCAATGGATGAATGAAAAACAAAACGAGATCGTTGTTTTTACGGACGTTTCGTTATTTGATGCTGCTGCTAATAGCTTTGTCACAGTGGTATTATTAAACCACAATGTTCAAAATCTCAGCATATATATATATAACAAAAATTTAAGAGGTGAGAAAGGTGAGACTTAGGTCAAGTTAAAATGACAATGAAGATCACTAAACCAAATAACAAAGGTAATAGTACATCTGTCATGATATCAAAATAAAGTTTACTAATTTGATCACCGTTCGTCAGTCTGGGGTCACTTTTCGTTGTCAAGTTGGTCAATTGGTAAAGATAACAAAATCAAGTGTGGATAGTTGGATTTGAGAAGTGTGTAAAATTATGAAGGCAGTGTGTGTTTACACAGTGAACTTGCATATCACATTCCTGTTGATTTTGTCATTTCGTGAGGGAGCGAGGCGTTGTAACCAGGTCAAATTCGGTTTTAGTCCAACATTTCTATTCAGATTATTTGGATTCCATTTGATATAAAGTGCTTCAGATGATATTAGACGTTCTTTGTGGTTTCTGAAATGCTTTCTCTGGATGATTATTTCAATATTGTCAAAATCAGTTTTGTGATTTGATTCTATAGTAGCGTGTAGACAGATCTATGGCTGATGATTTTTCAAGCTTTTCTAGTTCACCTGGATTTCTCGATGGTTGAACAGAGTCGGGCCTATGGTGTTCATCTCTTCTGATTTTGTTTACTAGTTGGTGATGTTTGTCCGATGTGTATCGCATCACATTCCCAGCAATCATTTTATTTCATAGACACGATCACATGGAGAATCTTTAGGTATTTGGTCTTTTATATAGACAAGGTTGTTTCGCAGTGAGTCTAATGTTTTGAAGAAAACTATGATGCTTTTTTATCTTTACCAATTGGCCAACTTGACAACCCAAAATTGACCTCATGCTGAGGAACGATGATTCAGCTGCTGTATATACAAGCTAAGTGGATTTTGTAAATTCTGGTTTAATAATATCACTGTGATAAAGCTATTAGCGGCAGCATTAAATAACGACACGTCAGTAAAAGCAACAATATCGTCTTGTTTTTCATTCATTCACTGGGAAATACAAACAGAACCTTTATTATAACGAACTGGTTACTTATACTCTGTAAAATCATTTTTTATTTTGTTTTTGTTGCTGTTGAGTGAACTAGACGTTATATTATATTAAAAGCTTAGAATTCCACATAAGTAATATAAGTACTATTTTGGAATGAAGCATAGGGGTTAGCATGCTCGCAGACCTTGCACATGGTCCGGGGTTCGACCCTCGGCCGACGCACTCCTTTACCTCGCTTAGCCAGAAATAATGCTGGTGAAGAGGGAGGGTTGGGCATGAGGCTAGCAACCCCATTCCGTAAAAATAAACATCAAAGCTACTGAAACTTCAAGCCCCTAGCTTGAAGCCCTGTGTTCCACTGGGAACGTAAAGGAATAAGAAAAAGTAATCTAGTTTACGAAGGAAAGTCATAAGCGCATAAATAAAGAATGTCGTGAATACAAAATGGAGGTAATATGCATTAATTATGAAGCTCCATCATTTAGAATGACTAAAATACAACACATTGTCTTCGTAAGTCAACAGAAGTAAGCGATAAAAAATAGAGTGGAGGAGAGAAATACACAATAAAATGGCTACTTATTTGATTTATGATGATTAGAATTAGAGTTCAGGATAAGCATTTCGTTCTGTGTGGGACTTGGCTGCTGGATGTACCTGATGATGTTCCCATTGAGACCTGAACCCAACAGGCATTTTTAAAAATGCCAGAGCATATTATCTTTAAGACTACTTGGACATTATGGATCCCACTGTTAGTCACCATTCCCAGCCGTCGTTTTAGCGTCTGTTCTACGCGCCGACATGTCAACAGAGACTAAACATTCTAGACGGGTGTATTCAGCCAGCCAGTGGGAAATACAAAATTAAGGTAAACAAAAGTAATTATTTGTCTATAATAATTGATCGATAAATCTTGATGAGTCTTAGCTTCCTCAGTAATCCATTTTTTATGATAAGGAAGTAGCTTGTGAGGTGAAGAGAAATTGTTCACAAAGGCATTTAAATAATATACTCCACTGTAAACATTCAAAGGAGAAAAGTAAATATGATAATTCATTTGATTGATGGTAGCTAGCAGTAGAACTGAGGACACTCGTATCGTCCTGTACGACACTCGTCATCCGGATGTATCTGTAATTCACTTAATGGTGATGTTGACTTCTAGTTTTTTAACTCTGAAGCTATCGTTTCAAAGGCGGCTAAAATACTGAGCATTGAGAACCAAAACTTTTATAAATGTTACACCCCTCTGTTAACATATTGCTTCCAAGTAAGGATGATTTGACAATGTCTTGAAAGAATCGTTAGAAGAATTTTTTTGAAAATTTAAATATCTATCCATCAGTGTCCAGCTGTCCAGAGTTTTTCCCATTAAGTAAAAATATTAACGCCGAAATAAACTGCCGATTTATAAAGCAATTTTTGCATATAAAAAATATAGTATTTATTTCATTTTATTATTATTCCATTGGCTTCCTAGTGGAACACAGGACTTCAACAACACATCTCCACTTCGTCCTAATTTCTGCTGTCCTCTTCAGCTGGGTCAACGATTCCCCATAATATCTCATCTCCTCCTCGCCACACGATCCCCTCCAAGTCATTCTCGCACTGATGGCTCACTCGTTGCTTCCCACTCGGCCTCCATTCGAGCGATGGCCTGCATTGTACGCGATATCATTCGACGGCCTCCTCAACCTATGCCCAGTCCATCTCCATTTTCTCCTACATTTTGTTGAACAATCGTCTCTTGGATGGTTGGTTCCACTACAGAGTTTCTTGTTGCTAATGCTCTCTGGCGGGCCTGCCATTTGATCTTCCTTGTGGAGCCAGCCAGCGAAGTTGGCAGCTGTTGATAAACATCTGTAACCTGTTGGAGATGCTATTTCTTGACGAGCAGTGCAAGTTTCTGACCCGTATAGAAGAACTGACTAACTTCTCACTTCGGTTAAAAGTTCAAATCTTGTTCTTTATGCTGGCTGAGTGCAGTTTAGAAGATTTCCAAACTGGTTTCAGGTTGGTGAAGGCGTATCTTGGCTCTCAGATTCTGGTTTGCTTTGACATCTTTATCCGTTCCGACTGCCTGTCGTTGAAACAATGCTCTCTGGATAAGTGGAGGAGGTGACGTCTTTCAAGTTTGTACTGTTGACCGAAAAAAAATATTTTTTTTATAACCTTCATGTTCCCCAGTGGAACATAGAGCTTCAAGCTAGAGGCTTGAAGTTTCAGTAGTAGTGGTGTTTATTTTTACAGGATGGGGTTGCTAGCCTCATGCTCAACCTTTCCTCTTCATCAGTATTATTTCTGGCTTAGCGAGGTAAAGGAGTGCGTCGGCCGGGGTTCGAACCCCGGACCATGGTCGACGAGCGTCCTAACTGCTATGCCACCGACGTAAAAGAAATTATAGTAAGGATTATAAAACTATTGTTTGTACTCACCTGAAACACTGTTATCAACGATTGATAAAAACTGTCGAAATTAGATCTTGGCTTTTCTTCACGAGGGAAATTGAATCGACCACCGAACAATTGCATACCGAGTAGAGCAAATATTACAATGAATAAAAAGAGTAGAACTAACAAGCTAACAATTGACTTTAAACTAGCCAATAGAGAACCGACTAAATTACGTAGACTACTCCAGTATCTAAAATAAATTAAAACAAAACAAAAAAACAGGCGTATATAAGAGAGGGGAAAACAAAAAAGCGTTAAAGAATACGAGTAACAAAATGGATCTGTCCAGTGTATATATATACTAGTATATTTTTGATAAAACGACCACCATCACTAGACTGAACCACTAACTACCAAATAGTCTGAATAGCCTTCATAGCTTCGTACATTGTAAGGACATTTCACATCCTCATGTTTATTTTTGCTTTGTCGGCTGACTAGGCTTCCTGAAGGCTTTCACCTTTCCGTGTCATTTCGTCTCTCCACATCCAGCGAAGAATATGTTTTTAAAAAAATATTCCTTGTATTTTCAATATTTCTCTTGTGCATCGAGGTATCTGTAGAAGTTTTACTGTTTATCTAGAGTAGTGTTGCTAGTCCCCCACCCATCCCTCCCTCCTTATCCGGGCTTGAGACTGGCTATAAAACTAGTGAACAAGTAAACTGGGCAATGTAGACGATGTGTATGATTGTTTGTGCAGATGTTGCCCAGAGAGATAACAATGAGTTCAGCAAAGATACCTCTTCGGTTCACTGAGGATGGTAATCTATACAGTACAGGTCTTGTAAAAGGCTAAGATGTGTGATGAATTCTCTTAAAAACCAATGGATGGATCATTATGTAAATGTTGAAAACATATCTCATTGAACGATTGATTTCATATCCAGTATCGTGGAAGACTTTGAGCTGGAATGTACGAATGTTTGGCATGTGATTAGCTCTCGCCAAATGCAAGATGATGTTACAAGACTGGACTACACTGACTCCTAAATTAGAAATAGGAATTGAAGTGGTAGAGCAGGTTGACCGCTTCATTTACTTGGGAAGTAACATCAGCCACTACCAACGGGTTGATCTCTGACGAAATCTCAGCACGGATACAGAGGGCTAGTTTCGCATATCCCAGTTTACGCCGTCTCTGACGTAGACGTGATATCCGACTTTCGACCAAAGGGCGTGTGTACTGCTCATCACTCCACCCCGTCCTCCTTTATGGTTGTGAGACCTGACCATTGAGAGTGGAAGACATGAAAAGACTAGCTAGCTGTCTTTGGTCATGGCTGCTTGTGTTCTATCTCCCGTGTGAAGCGGTATAATAAGGTCAGCAATATTGAGGTTAGGCATCGGTCGAGTGCTATGGTAAAAATGGAAATCAATCGACACGGCTGTGAAGCTACATCGACTGAGGTGGTCAGGACATGTGTTACACATGCCAGCCTAGTCATCGCCTTCCTCGACAACAGGCAATGTTAGCTGATATTGGGTCAGGCTGGAAAAAAGCAAGTGGCGGTCAAACGAAAACATGGCACCAGTCAATGAAATCCACAACAGTTAGTTTAGGCCACGCAGGAAGATGAAGACTTCCTAACCGATTGGGGTCCTTGGGACGGTAAAAACCAATGGTTGGAAACAATTGGTGACATGGCTCAAAATCGTTGTCAATGGCTGGTGCAGATGCATCCACTCCTTGTGACTTATGATTTCCAATGAAACTATATTGTTCTTCGTTATTACTATTCCTTTGTCTCACACCTCTGTTTACTGTCTATATTATGCATTTCTTCTACTTTCTTCTCTTGCTTTGTGTGCTACATGGAGTTTGGCTACATACCACAAATAGGCAGAAATTGTAATTCATGGGTTTTTGGATGAAGTCTAGGAGCTCTCCTTGCAATCGGAAGGTCAGGGGTTTGAACCCCAGTGATTAAGTACCGCTGAGGAATCACAAAACTGGGATGAGACAGCTGTCCAGTACCCTCAAGTTGGTTTACCAACGGTTATCTAACTTCTGTCAGCCCAGGATCAAGGATTTCAGTTAGGCTGAAATTCGTAAGAAAAAATAATGTAATCCATGAGTCCAGGTGAGACAGATATTCTACAGTATGTATACACATCATTTGGACTATTATTATTATAACTATTATTCAATTCGCCAGCTCCCGACCGATAGCTGCTACCTTGACGTGGTGGTCGGGCTTCCATATCACCATGACCCAACGAGCTACACTACTGGCTGGAACTTATGTTCCTGCAGGTCCTAACATGCCAGAAAGGTTGTTTGGACAGCGGTTAGACAAAAAGCAGCTACCCAATCCAATACTATGATTCAAACAAATTCACAAAATATCATTCCGGATCGGTCGGGGCCCGAATTAACAACGACCGCGCTTCCCGCTGCTGTGTCACAGGGCAGAAGTGATAAATGTGCTACCGAGACACACCAAACAAAAAAGAACAAACAAAAACAGGCCGCGTGTGACCGGCCTTAAGCAGTTGTCCCCTGAGCTCTGCGGTCACACAACACCCTTTCTGTTTCAGGTTCCCGAAGACTCAATCAAAACTTCCACGGTGTGGGCAGCCAAGAAGTAACAACCTACCGGCTCTCTTTGACCATAGATGTCTGTGTTCTATCTCCCGTGTGAAGTGGTTTAATAAGGTCAGCAATATTGAGGTTAGGCGTCGAGTGCTAGGTTAAAAGGGAAATCAATCGACGAGGCTGTGAAATTACATCGACTGAGATGGTCAGGACATGTGTTCCGTAAGCTTGCCTATCGATCACCTTCCTCGACAATGGGCAATGTTAGCTGATATAGGGTCAGGCTGGAAAAGAGCTAGCGGCGGTCGAACCAAAACATGGCTTCATTAGTCAATGAAATCTACAACATTTAGTCTAAGCCACGGAGGAAGGTGTACACTTCTTGACTAGTTGGGGTCCTCTGGACGGTGAGAATAAATGGTTGAAAACAGTTGGTGACATGGCTCAAAGTGATCGTTCCCAATGGCCGGCGGAGATGCATCCACTCCTTGTGACTCCTTGATTTCCAATGAAACTGTTTTGTTCTCCGCTATTACTATTCCTTTGTCTCACACCTCTGTTTACTGTCTCTAATATGCATTTCTCCTACTTTCTTCTCTTGCTTTGTGTGCTACATGGAGGGAGTGTGGCGGCCTGAACTGCCGCACATATGTGCAAAGTTCTATGTCGAAAACAGACAGACAGACAGAATTTTCATATTCTACTCAATGATACAGAAGGTTCGTGTGGCAGTTGCCAACTGACGCCATCTCTGGCTTAGTAGATGTGATATCAGGCTGGTTACCGACCAAAAGATGTGTGTACGGCTCAGCAGTTCGATTCGTCCTCCTTTATGGCTGTGAGAAATGGCCACTGAAAATCGAAGACATGAAAATGCAGGCTAGTTGTCTGTGATCGTAGGCGCCTGTGTTCTGTCTCCTGTGTTAGGTTGTACGATTGGGTGAGTAATATTGAGGTTAGGCGTCCAGCGCTAGATAAGGAGGGGAAACCGATCGACGACGTTGTAAATTTACATCGATTAAGATGATTAGGACATGTGTTACGCATGCCTAGCTTAGTTATCACCTTCCTTGATCCACAATGTTAGCTGGCATAGGATCGACTAGCTTTGAAAACAGCTAGTGGTGGTCAAATCAAAATATGTCTTCATCAGTCAATGAAATCCCTAGCATTTAATTCTAGCCAGCCAGACACCTAGGGAGGTGTAGAGGTAGAGGTCTTCAGAATGGTAAGAACCAATGGTTGAAGACAACTGGTGAAATGGCTTAAAATCGTTCTCAATAGTGGCGGAGATGCATTCACTTTTTGTGATTTGTCACATCCGATGAAACTCTGTTGTTTTTCCATATTACTATTGTTTTGGTCCTGCATTTCTATTTATTATCTCTCTTCTGAATGTCCCTTTATTCTCTTCTAATGCTTTGTGCGCCATATGGAGAGTGGCTACTTGAATCGCTACCCATCTCTGCAAGGTTCTGTGTTGAAACAACTCAGTCATTCTATTTTAATGCAGTATTCAGAATGATGTCAGAATTCTTCATCACAAGTACTCTGGTGAGTACTTTTCAGTCTTCTCTGGTGTAATGAAATGTTTTGCAAGTGAGATTGAAATTTAAGAAGTCAAAAAAAGATAGCCAAAATCTCAAAGACATTAAGATTTTGTTTACAGTCTGTACATTGTGACCTTTTGGTTAGTATGAAGTCTGGAGGCAAATTAGTCTTTTTTGCAGTAACAATAATAATAGCTTTATTTCTCTCTGTCCAGCATCTTCACATAAAAGACTAATGAACAGTAGATATACAGACACTACTCAAGAGGGCCAGGAGTCAATGCAGCACTCCCACCTTAAGGAAAATTGAAGAAAGATAGCTCATGGACGTCTTCCAAAAGAATGGATATCCATGGAACTTCATCAAAAGACATATACCCCCAAGTCAACCTATCAAACCAAAAGCTCTCAAAGAAAGCACAAAGAAAATCGCCCTACCATATATAAAGACTCTTCATACCTTTAGGAATCGACGTCACACACAAACCAACAAAATCACTTCATTCAGTTCTATGTCAACCAAAAGACTCAACAACGAAAGAAGATAAAACCAATATCACCTACAAAATAAATTACCATGTCTGCGAAAAGCACTACACTGGCCAAAGTGGACATCCCCAACTAGCCGTCAAAAGACATGACATCCACTCCCCCATACCGCCTCACTACATAAAGACAACCACAGATATCAATTCGACTGGGACAATGTTCAAATATTAGGCAGAGGAAACAACAAGAATGCTAGAGAATTTTTAGAAGGCTGCCTGGTATTCCGGTGAATCATCAATCAATAGACACATCGAGATTGACAAAATTTATCAAACGATAAGAAAGAAACCTTACACACAAAGGGTCAAAGTTCAAGTCTCAATGTCTCAATACAAGTAGCCTAGAAGGTGTGAAAACACACAAAAACAACCAATCACGCCCAAGTTCACCAGGAGAGATGACTAATAAACTCGTGGAGAAATCTAAAAGCTCACTTCAACAAATTGAAGTATGCGCTGAAGATGTTACCTAGTAGGGTGATGAAAGCTTCGCAAATTAACTGTCCAGCTCAGAGAACACAACTACATCAAAAACAGTAGATAGTGTGACACAGT